CACCCCCTGCCTCCCTGCTTCCCTTAGCTGTCATCCTTCTATCTATGAGTCTGTTTCTATTTTGCTAGTTAGTTCAGTTTGTTCATTAGATTCCAGATATGAGTTAAATCATATGGCATTTATCTTTCTCTGACTGGTTTATTTCACTTAGCATAATGTTCTCCAGGTCTATCCATACTGTTGCAAAGGCTCAAATTTTCTACTTTTTATGACCGAGTAGTATATGGGTATTTAAAGCTAAAAAGTGCCCTTAAGTACTGCTTTAGTCACAGTCTGTAAATTTTGATATGTTGTACTTTAGTTTTGATTTTGTCAAAAATATTTTCTAATTTCTGTTGTTATTTCTTCTGGATGTATGGGGTATTTAGCAGTGTTTATTTAAATTTCCATATATTTAGGGATTTCCAAGTTATTTTTTTTATTTGGACGGTGCAGTTTGCATGATTTCAATCCTTTTAAATTTATCAAGATCTGTTATTGAATCTTAAAAAGGGACTTGCTTTATGATCTAAAAGCCCAGCAGGAGATGAGGGGAAAGATGGGCGAATTCCCAGGAAGAAATTCCACAGGATCCCCACTCATTACCAGAAAGAGTAATGTTTCTGAAATAAACACTGATTTTGTTGCACAACTGGTCAGTTTCTATAGTTCTGAAATGGTAGGTTTTGGCAAATTTGTCCAGTTTGTAATTGATGTAAAAATTATGCCCCAAGGCACTCTTTTTTAAAATTTTACAATGGATTACTTTTTGTGGGTCCATAAAACATCACACATAAAAACTGTGGTACATTTAGGGCTAAACTTTGCATTCTCAATTTAAAATACACCAGGGGTTTGTTTGTTCAACATATTGAGGGTAATTTCATGAGAGGATGAGACCTTAGTGTTGTGTTATCATGGCATTCAATGTCTAAGAGTAGACAAGTGCAGAGAGCATTCTTGGTACAGAGGATTGCTTTAATAAACCACCGTGCCTGTTATATTCTGTTTGAGAGGCCAGTCAGCAGTGCAAACTGGTTGATGTGGAAATTCTTTTTTGGTGCACTAGTGTCCAAAAACTGTTTGTATCAAAAAAGAATATTCATTCTATAGAGACAGGGTCTTGAAAACTAGATTCTGGATAGCAATAGGGTGCTTTTGTGGATTTCTGAGCACAAAACCATCAAGAAGAAATGAGGTCTCAGGTTACCTTGCAAACAGTTGCCAGAATAGATTTGAAACGAAATGGAGTGATGCGATAAGAATACCACTGCAATATGCTAGGTATGTGGGCCTGCGGTGATAACATGTAGGGCCACACAAAGAGGACAATGCCTTGGAATCTTGTATTGGCACTATCAGTTGATAACCACGGTAATCTTTATAAGTTACAGCTTTCTAATCTGTAAAACAGAATATGTTTCTTCTCTGCCTAACTCACAAGCCTGTAAGGATTATGGTATTGAAAATGAAATGAAAAACAAATCTGAACACTCTGTGGAGATAATATGGTAGCACACGATGATGGTTATCAATAAGGAATGAGAGTTGATAAGTTGATAGTTGAAGAGAGCCCATAGACTAAGTAGGTAGAGAGACTGAAAAATGATACTTGGAAAAATGATTTGAATGGCATGAATAAAGATATTTATTTTAAAAAATCTCAGTCCTTGCTGATCTTTTAAAAAATATCACTATTATCTTAAGCAGCAAACCATCTATTAACTGACACCAGGATGATCTTTTAAAAATACATTTTAAATGACATGTCATTGTTTCATGAAACTTTGCTGAATAGTTTAGTGGAAATGTCACATAGTTTTGTAATTAATGTCATAGAAAGACAATAAGTACCTTTTATCTTAATTCTAGACTATTTTTTACTAGGTTTTTGGAATCTCATTTAAATACTAGAATGTGAAGGTTCAGTGTTATGAAATTCTGATGATTTTTTTTAAAAAATTCTTTTCAGGAAGCTCATTTTTTTACTTATAAATACTCTCTTATCAAATAGTTATCAGTGTGGTGCTATTTGAAAAGCTTGAGGGAACAGACTCTGAATTGGGTTACTTGTGTTTAAGTTTTGTCTTTACCTCTCAGTGTCACAGAAGATTTGTTTGTTATAAAGATTTTCTTTATAACAATCTCAGAGTTTTGGGCAAAAGTTGAATGAGCATATAAACAAAGTGTTTAAATCCTTAAAACAATTTTAAGATTAACTGAGACTATAAAGAAGTATAAAAAATGAAGCTGTTTTAAAATGTAAATAAAATCTTTAAAATGGATATAAAATCACTCTCTTTTACTATGTATATACCTACCTATCTACTTTCTCTCATACACTGTGCTTATTTCCCATTGAGAAAGTAAATGTGAACTCCCTGAGTATTACTTTTGTGTGTTCAGGTCACTCCTAAATCCATAGCACTTTAAAATAGTGCCTGGATGCTGGTCATATAGTTGGTGAATGAATGAGTAAATGAATGAATGATTGAAGTTCCTCTACTTTATAAACTTGCTATCTCTGTATTAGGAAAAGCTTACTTTGAAAATTCATCTTTATTAGTATTCATTTTTTAAACAGTGTTTAATTTTGACATTTTATCTAAAGCTTGGATTAATTTAAGTTTAATTTTTCATTAAAGCAGTTCGGTATTGATAACCAAAGTATTTTCATATAATTCAAAAGACCTAGAGGAAAATGACAATGCTAATTGCTAGGGAATTGCTTTTTATGTCATTTTGAACAGTAATGAAAATACGTTTGTATGGATTAATTTTTATCTAAAACATACCAAATTTTTATATCCTCCATTAGTGTTTTTCTTTGTAGTCACATTGCTCAAAAAACAATTCTAATAGCTCCTTTTTGCAATCCTTTTTAGACTGTTCAGTAATTAGAAATTTACCTTATTACTTCATACTGATAGTGTAATTTGATATGATACCTTCTTCTGCCTATTTGGTTTTCTAATTCTCTTCCTATTTGTCTCCCTGCTTTTCCTTTCCCTGTGTTTTACCCCTGTCCTGGCTTGCTTCTTCTTAGGAGGCTAACTGATTTGTATAAGCTAGTTCTTTCCATTGAGTTGTCTGCTAACTCTAACATGCCTTAAGTGGATAAAATAGAGTGAATGAATCACTGAGATGTTGAATAGTCAAGCTGTAAATTGAAGATTCTCTGTTCTGTACAAGAAGAAAAAGGCTAAAAGACCTATAAAGATAGCTATATAAACAAATTCAAAGGCACATGTAATGGTCGATTTTTGTTCTTGATTTTGATTTATGTGAGGCCAATATGGATAGTTTTCAATAATGAATGTTTTTAAGCAAAAAAAAAGTAAATATTTTGTTTACCCAGTCAGCATTTTTCAGGCCATCTTGAGTGCTTTAAGGAGGGGTAGTACAAACTGAAAAAGTAGTCGGAGTCCCTGTTTTCAAGCAATTCATGTCCTAGTGTAGTGTTGGCAAAATGGGAACATATACAAAGAGGTATGGGAGTATCAGGGAAGTCCCGACTGGTCCTGTCTGTGGCATAGTGGGTCTGGTGATACCAGGGGAACTTTGTGGAAATCGTAATGTTGGGATTTCAGAATGCATTTTCTAGAGGGAGAACGAAGGTCTAAAAGTGCTGATATTTGGAGGAGAGTCTGAGCTGTCATTACCTATGAGTGTTCAGTCGTGAAGAGATAGGCTTGGTCTTCTACAAGCAGAGAAAAATACCCTAGGTTAGCGGCCAGTGTTTATAGAATATGCTTGATTTGTTGAAAAAAGGGTTGTGCGGGAAAACCCAATAAGTTGACTAAATGATTGCTTTTCATTGTCTTTTTAAGTAGCAAGCGTGTCATTCAAATGTGGACTTAGATTGCTTGGCCAAGTATGGATGGACACTCACTAGAAAAAATTCAGTGAATTCCCTTTAATATTTTTAAATCCTCAAACAAAATGCAATACTATTGTTAGTGAATATTTTCCTTTAATTTGTGTGTGTGTAATAGTGATCAATAGTGATTCTGTAAAGGAGAACTCAATTTTAATTTTATGCTAAACAATACCTTACCATATCCTTATCCAACTGGAGATAAGACTTTTAAATAGATAATAAATTGTCATTGTTTTGGCACATATATGGTTAATTAACCTCCTGCTAATAGCATAATACTACTAATAGCATAGAAAATACTAAGTATCATGATTAATGCAGCTGATGCTTGTGTGAAGCACTTAAGATTCACTAGAAAGTTCAAAAATTGATATGACCAATTATAGGATCACTAGAAGACCGAAATTCCAAAAGAAATAGTTTGAGGGACATCATATCATTTTTTCTGTAAAATGTATGACATATTGATCATTAATTTAAGAGTAAAAGATATAGAAAAATATTGTGACAATTTAATGAAAAGGAGGACAACCTCCTCTGTAAATCTACCATTTAGATAAATTGTACTTTTATTTCTTCCTAATATTGTTAAAATTGAATATGTTTAGATTATTATATTTACAGTCGGAGTATATGTATATATCAGTACATAGGGAGTATGTATGTAAGTGTGTGTTTGTATGTATGTATGCTTAGGTGGCAAAATGTACTAAGGAATTTCCCAGTTGTTCTTGTGTTTTGTTTTGTTTTCCCCACAGCAGTTCTAGCTAAGGTAAACATGACTAGATGTATCCTAAGATCTTAGCTTGAAGTGCCAGTTGCAAGAAACCAGAAAATTATTGGAAATCTTGAAATATATTTTTTAAAATCATGTGTTCTTTTAATTAGGAAAGTGTTTAAATTCTTACCAAATTAATTACCTTTTCTCAGTCAACATTATAGTAAATTAGATCATGGAAGAAAATGTGGCATATGTAAATTGTGTTTTGTTTTCATGCTATGGTTTTTCTGTTTTACTTAAGCATTGTGGGGAAAAATACACTAGCAAACAATAAGAAATATTAAAACCAACTCAAATAGTTCTACAACTATAACCATGAAATATTTTTCAACATTAATTACATGTCTTTTTTTTCTACAGAAATGTTCAAATGTTCTGTAAATTGGAGGAAGAAAACATGGATATTTAGCTACTGAAAACCCCATTAAGGTAATAGTATATTATTGTTGCCAATTCATTTCTTTGTAATTTCCAAGTGTATTTAAAATATTTATATTCAGAGCTCTGGCTGGCGTAGCTCAGTGAATTGAACACAGGCTGAGAACCAAAAGTGTCGCAGGTTCGATTCCCAGTCAGGGTGCATGCCTGGGTTGCAGGCCATGACCTCCAGCAACTGCACATTGATGTTTCTCTCTCTCTCTCTATCTCCCTCCCTTCCTCTCTAAAAATAAATAAATAAAATCTTTAAAAAAAATAAAATTAATAATATTGTTTAATGTGTTATTAAAGTTGAATTTTATATGTTTTTGGAAAGTCAATTGACATTTCTTGTGAACAAATTTATAAATAATATAATTCAGAGTATTTACTGTTGTGAGGAAGTATGCTCCAATTATATTAAATATAAATGAACTACTAAAAATAAAAAAAAAAATTACTGGCTCTCCACCTCTTTGGAAAGAATAATAGCCATATTACCTTCTTAAATATTTAATATTGAACAACTATTTAATATTTTATTTAATTTGTGCATGTATACCAACACAAAGTGATTTTTGTTTAATGTGTCCCATTTGTTCTTAATTATATATCCAACAGTGAATGTGAATATTAGGAAATAAAGTGTATTCATTTTATAGCAACAAGCTGCTTAATATACAGTTAATTATTTTTAGAGTAATGTTTTTATCACAAGTGTATTTATAGAGAATGACATAAAAGTCTCTGAAGAACATAACCTTAGGCCAGCACACATATGTGCATCTTCTTCAGCAAATCATTGGAAGGCAAAACAGTCAACAGAGAAGTTGGAATTTCTTTTTTTTTTTGAAGTTACTACATTTAATTTCTATAGAGTGACTTTGTAAAGTATATAATGTAGATTATAAATATACAGCTAAAATTAGAAATATCAACTTTGTTATCTTTTATATTCAAATAATTCAAATTCATTTTAAATTACTGATATATTGATATGTATTATAAATTACTATCAATCCATTTGCAAGAGTTTTCTATTTTTCCTTTTACTTGAAGGTATTGAATGATATAGACTATAAAAATAGTGCACTCACCTTTGTAGGCACTAAGTTTTCCAATTGTTATTCCTCCTTTTGATATTTTTACCTTAATTTATTTATCCCTGCTTTCCTTTACACATTCATTCACAATGCAAATGGTATTATTCTATCTTCCAGAATAGATACGATTGAATCTACCTTATTTGTATTTATTTGCTTATTTATACATTAACGTACATTTTTAGACATTGTTATTGATTGCATATGAAATAGGTTTTTGGTACTTAATTAGATAAGTAAATCAAATAGACAAAAAGAGACTGATTTAATCATTTAGAGAAATGAAGGCAAGTAAGACTTAAATCTGATCTGCTTGCTCTGAAGAAAATAAATGTGGGTGGGAAATTGATCCTCTATGGAAATTGTTATGTACATTTTAAAATAGTCAATGACAAACTGCAAAGGAACAAAAAGGTCACCTCAGGTCACCTTAGGGAGAAGCTGTTGAAACTTTCATGGAAGCTGTGAGATGCGCAGAGGGGGTGTAAGGTTGGGAAGGTGAAGTCATGCATTCTTGGCCAATAGAATAGCTTGTGAAAAGGCTCATAAAGGAGCAAGGGATGGCCAATGAAGGATTGATATTTCCAGTGTGGCTAAAGGATTAGCCACATGTGATTGTACAATGTTAAGAGATGAGTCTGGAAAAGTAAGTTGGAACAGTCCATGAAATATCAGATTTGCCATACTGAAGCTTAATTGTCTAGCCTAATCTCCAGAGTGCTTCTCCTGACGTTTATTTTCATTAGGAAAATAAGAAAGAATTAAGGCCTTATAACATTTAATATAATGACTGGTATAAGGTCCCAGATATGAAGTTCCTTGAGGAATCGTAGAGATTTTTACAGTGTTGAATGATTGGCACTGTTTCCTTGTTTTTTTAATTGAGATAAAATCAATATACCATAAATTCACCCTTTTAAGGTGTATAATTTAGGGGGGTTGTTTTTATACTTTCACAAAGTTGTACAACTATCACTACTGTCTAATCCAAAACATTTTTGTCATTTTTAAAAGAAACCTTGTGCCCCTGAGCAGTTGTATCCCTCCCCCCTTCCCTCCTCTGGCAACTAAAATACTTTCCCGCTCTGGATTTAGCACTTAAATGGAATCACACAATACGTAGCCTTTTGTATCTGTTCTTTCTCTCTACCATCACCCTTGTTGTTTTCAAGTGTCACCCTTGCTATATAATACAATACTTAATTTCTTTGTATTGATGTATCACATTCTGTTTATCCATTCATTAGTTGATGGACTTTTGGGTTTTTACATGTTTTGGCTTTTAGGAATAATGTTGTTATAAATATTTGTACACAAGTTTTGTGCAGTTACATGTATTCATTTCTTTTGGACACATACCTGACTGGGTCATATGTGATTGTATTTTACCTTTTGAGGAAAGTCAAAATTATTTTTACAAAGTGGTTGTAAAATGCAAAATGGTAATTTTGCATTCCCAACAGAAATATATCTGTGTTCTAGTTTCTCCATGTCCTTCCCAAAGTTATTACTGTCTATCATTTTTATTATAGCCTCCAAATGGATGCTGAGTGGTATCTCATTGGATTTTCATGGTAGTGTTTATTTTTAAGAATATTTTAATGTACTGATATTGCATGTGTTTGGATAAGTGCATTAATGGAATTATTGTCAGTTTTTAATTAGACTAGTCCTCATATTTAGACAATTGATTTTATGAAGTATTAAATAAAAATTACAAAATGAAGATTATTTGATGAATAATGCCCAAGTCAATAATTTAAGAAAACTACAAAATCGACCTTTTTTCCATTCATATTGCAGGGGTTTTTTTTTCAGATTCATTGTATGATATAAAAATTGATAATCTCAGATTTATTATTGAGCAAGTTAAAATGTTGAAATTATCAAGAATACTATGAAATAGGGCTTTGTCTCTTGTATCATAAGCAATTAAATTTATCCTGAGAACCTATTTTGTCTTGAGTTGTCAGTTAATGATAGCATACAACAGCAAGAATAGCACCATTCTTAATAACTTAACATCTGAAATGTAAATGTAAACCTGACTAGCATTTTCAGAAACTTTTAAAGTCATGTTCATTTGAGTCATCTACAAAATTCCACTGAAGTTTATGACAAACATTTAGCAGAATTATTTGAGATTTCCTGCAGGGAAGGAATAAGATCATAAAGGTGAAACCCTAGTTCTTCCTGTTATGATAAATATGAATGAAATCATGCAAGAACAATTATATGGCAACAAATAAAAATTTATTACTTTATCAGTAAATACTGTTGGAAGGTGACATGAAGAACATTGCTTTTTCAGAAAAAATAAGTCTTAGAACAAATTTTGTAGTATGAGATATTCACTTTACATTTGGACAAAATACATATATTTTGATCATGTGACAATGTGTGATCTTTGCTAGGTTATTTTTAAATCATTTATTGATGTAAAATTTATGTCTAGTGAACTCTTTAATGCAAAATTGTGTTTTCATCAGCACATCGATTTGTGTAAGTTACCACCAAAATCCAGATGAAAAACATACTTATCACTCCCCAAAGTTCTCTCACGTGCCTTTGTAGGCAATCCTTCCCACCACCATTGCCCTTATGAAACTCAAATTCTATTTTAGTAATAGATATGAAAGAAAATCTGAGAGGAAGCAGAGTCAAGAGGTCAAGTTTGAAAGACAGGTTCAATATATAACCTTGGAGGTGTCACTTATCCTCTGTGCTTCAACTTCCACATTTGTAATATGGGTTGACAGAATTATGTACCACACAGCATTTGAAATAGAGTTTGGCATTTCTAATACTATGTATTTCTATATTAATTTCTTGAACCTCAAAGGAAAGGCATACTGGAAAATTATTTTCCACTGTAAATGATGGCCTCTTTAAATGTATTTAACCACAGTGTCCAAGTAATTTTTAAAATTACAAAGCCTATTAGAATCTTTAGTTTCAAAAAAGTTTTGGTTAATGGTTTATTCTTCCACATTCTTAGGCATGAATCCTTGTAGTATTTGTTGAATTTTCTTTCAGACATATTGCACATACATCTTTACATTCCATCTGACTACTTCTGAGCACCTCATTGGCTACCTACCACCTTGGTCCATAGCACAGTGCCTTCTTGCCTGGGGAATTACAACACCCTCCTCCCCATCCTCCCGCTGCTTGCTCCACTGTTTTCATTGTACCTCCCTTAGAGAAGTGCTCTCTTTTCCACCTCCTCTCCACTCCAGCTGCCCTGGCTACATTGCCATTTGCTTAACACACAAAGCCATTCTACCTTAGCTCACTGTTCCCTCTACCAATCACATTCTCCCTAGTTATACCTATGGATTATTCCTCAGGCTTCAAATATTCTCTTTTCAAGGCAGCCTTCCCTGAGCATCCTACTTAAAATTGAAACTTCCTGGGGACACCTTCTGCCCTGTCTTCCTGCTTTATTATTCTCAAGCCCATATTACCACATTCCACATAATTCTGTATATTGTTTTATCCCATTAATTAATACATTCTAAATATTTCCACTTACAATATTTTTGAGTTTCAATTTTTGTGTTTTTATTGCTATTGCTCATGGATTAGGATATTATATAAAAATGTAACTGGAGATATCCAGATTACAGTTTGTGACTAGAGGAAGAAGGGTTATCTCGGAAATATTGGTAATAGATCAGATGAGGTATAATAAGGATCTGCTTTAAGGCAACAGCACTGGGGGTTGAGATGCAGTAACACATTTGAGACTATTCAGAAAGTGAAACGGAGAGGTCTCCGCGTCCGATTGCATTGGAGCAGCGAGAGCTGAAGTCTCAGTGTAGTGAGTTTGAGGTTTGAAACTGGCACCCTGATAGCTGTGGCATCATTTACTGACCTTAAGGGAGCAAGCGGGATTGTATATGTGGG